AGCACACCTCTGCCAGCAAGAAAACAAACCTTTAATCAGATCAACTCTGACGTCATCAACTGTGGTTAATAATTTCTCCAGTCCTTTCGAAAAATAAAAGTCAAACTTCTGGCTGCTGCTACAGCACTTGGAAGGGGCCCCTTGCCCCCGCAGCTGCCCCGAGTTCGAGGGCTTCCCCTCCCCCTGTTCCCGGGCACCATGACCCAGGAATCTCGCTCCGCGCCGTGGCGTGCTCCACCTGTCGTGGGAACTGCCCGGCTCCTCCAGCGGCTTGGGGGGGGTCTGCGAGCATTTCTCAGCCTCTCCCCCTCTCTCTCTGCACTCATAAATAGAAATGAAACTGGAGGGCAAGGGACAGAAAAAAAAAACCCTACAAAACACCCAAGCAACCAATACTGACGCACTGAGACTTTATTGGAAAGTTTCATAACTGCCTGTGCCTTGCCACGTTATGACACTGCACACACGCGCTCTCGCTGCCTCGCTCATACACACACATCCACTCCCTCCCGCACTCCCTCTCACTCTACACACAGCACACGGCTCACGGGAGGCTGCTCCGGCTCAGAGCCTCACATCAGCCACAAGACGCAAAGGATTCGCAAGCAACACAACTGCGGAATGAAAAGTGCTGGTTTGGGGGTTAGCGTTTTGAGGAATTTTTGGCGGTGTACCGAAGAGGCAGATGCTTTGTCTTTCTCTGCCTTTTGTTGGGGTTTTTTATAGATTGAGATAACAGCTGCACAACTCGGGGCATACTTAAGTTTCTACAAAAGCCCCAGGTGTCTTATCTTCAAAGGAAAAAAATCTCCTTTCTCTCCCTGACTGCAGCAGTGGAGCTGAAGGATGTGCTGCTACGAGACTCCAGCCCATGCTCAGCTCACTGTCACTCACTGGCAGTTCTGTTTTAAATTCAGGAGTGCCTGGCTCATCTGCTGGGAAGTAATGTAACAAAATAGTGATTAGCTTTCTCAGAAAAGAAATTGTTTGTAATAGACTGAGCCAGAGCATAAGAACTGCTCTTCTGTTGCTACGGCATTGGTCTGCAAATAGTCTGGTAAAAGCCACGAAGGCTTCTTGCAGAGTAACCTCCCACTCACTGCAAAGGGGCTGCAATATAGAAGAACTTATCTTTGCCTTTCTTTTTTTCCTACTTTCTACTTAATTTTTTCATCTTTGATAACCTATTGTCTAGATTCGGGCTATAACAGGATTTCTTGGTGTCCAAATAATATGCAAAGCTTACATTACAGGAGAACTGAATTTCTCACAGAGATCTGCCCTATGTGCATCATTTACTGACATATTTTAGTAAAAAATGATTCCTCACACTATTCAAAGTCAGATAAGCTTATAGCATATAAATATTTACTTCCAAAATTTGTATTTGGGATTACCTCCGTGGGAACCAGCTGTAGAACTACCTAGTGAAATAAATCCATTTTTACCTTCTGCTAGTTTTAGCAGTAATGATTTTATCCAGCTGCTTGGATTAGCATTATATTGACTGCTCTTCCCACACCAAAATCCTCAAATATAACCCTCAAGTTTACAAACGAACATCACAGTAGATGGCACATAACATTTCACTTTAGAAGGGACCTGAAACTCCACATCTAACCTATGTACAAAGACATTGCTATCCTGGTCTGTTCCAGATGTTTAAATCCTTCAAACAAACAAACAACAATCCACTATGTACACAGTAGCAAAAGGAAAACAAACACAACAATATATGGCTGTATTCTAAGGAACGAGATGGCTTCTACAGCATACAAATCAGGGACCAAACACGGACACAGCAGAACACTGCTTTGTTCAGATCGGATGAAGGACACTCCATTCTGTGGGTAACACGGCTGGGGAGAGCAGGGGAGCACAACTCAGTCTGAGCTTCTGCTGAGGGCTCAGATAAAATGTGTGTCTGTCCTGTTAAGTGAAACAACTAGTTAGATAAACCCATGGCAATATAATTCCATCTAATTTCATTTCCCACCTAGCTCAGTTGCTTTTCTGCTTCTCACTTTCTGTGAATTTGACAGGCCTTGCAAAATGTTACTATACTGGATTAAACCCTTGGAATTTTTAACTCTTTGATCACTAAGCAGCACTGGACTTTACACACTGTACCCGATGATGCCAGTATGTCAGCATCTACATAATAATGTTTCATCTGCTGCTTTTTTTACCCAAAATACTCAAGTAGCTAATTGACTAAACGCAAGGAACTGCTGTGTTGACCTTGGAAATGCCAGACAATGCTGCAAAAAGCAGTACTTTGCTTCCTCATAAAATGCCGAATCCCAAGAGGAAAAAAAAATAGGATGTCTTTCTGTCTGTATGTTGAAATATTACACCTATAGTCAGTCTATTTTTATGCCATCCCATCAATCTCAGTAACCAGTACTAGATTCAGAATTGACGCATGCACCAAACACATGGGAGAGCCAGCATTTCAGTTTCCTGAAAAATTTCTGATGAAGGCAACAGAGGACAGGCTTTCTCTACACTTCCTTCTCCTTCCTATGATTTCATCTGATCAAATGTTGATTTATGATAAAATAAATAATTTTCAGCAAGGGTTACCTCCACCCATAATTGCAGAGTAATACTTCACATTTACATTGTGCTGTGTGTCCACAGACATCCTTGACTTCACGGCATTCATTAATTCAGTCTGAGCAGCCCTTGGGAAAGAAGGGAAAAGATATGATCCAAACTCTAGCATTAAGACTGAAGAAGAGAAAGGTGATGTGACTTGCCCAGGCCACCCCATGAGCAGGTGGCAGAGATGTCAAGAGATCCCAGGACCTGTGCCTCCAGCTCCAGCACAGTACCGGTCGGATGCTGCAGGGACTGGGCAGCTGGGGACTCTCTGGGCCCAGGTGACTGGAGGGTGATGCAGAAGACAGAGCTCCTCACCAGAGCTTGCAGTGCAGCTGTGCCTCTGTAGCCACTTGAGAAGAGTTGTCGCAATACAGCACTGCTTCAGGAGAGGCTCAGCAGCAGAGATCGCTCACTATTGGCCATGGAGAGGGACAAGAGCACTGACCAGACTAATTGGGAGGGAGGGGAGGACTGGGGATTGGCAGGAGCCCTCCTGTAGGCTCAGTAACGAGCACAAGCTTCTTAAATAGAACAACTGCACTCAGCACAATCACAGAGCTGTGACTGTAAAGTCCTGTTATGTTAATTCATTTAAACCCAGCGTGCTGTGCATGGTGCTAATACCACTATTTCCCTCACATGAAACCTGCAGCTCAAAGGTTAAGTGCTTTAATCAAAGCCACACAACCACCTCTAGTGTGGAAGGCACATCCAGCCCTAGCTCCTGCTCCCTCCCTTCCCCTCCAACACTTCTCCTCATAAAATCAGGCCTGTCTCTACTAGAAACAGTTCTTTCATCTGTGGGGCCCACATCCTGCGGGTGACTGCACGGTAAGTCCCGGAGACACCGCAGTGCCAGAGACGAAGGGGAATTTCTGCTCACCTGGACTTAACTTGCTATCTTGAGGCCTAAAACACTACATAGGTAGGTGAATATAGGCTGGGAGTCCAAGAGGATTTATGTTGTTATCAGAAGACAACGTTAGTATATAGATCCAGTACCTCGTAGCAAATATAGCTTATAAAATAACTACAAAGGTAACTCCATAGTTAGCTCCTGGCATGCCTGTGACATCTGCAACATTCTCACTGGGAGATGTGGTTTAAAGATCATATTGCTGTCCTAGCAAATGTTAAAAAAAATCCAGACAGATCTCCCCGAGCACACACTTGGTTTCAAAAGAATGAGATTTGTCAAAAAAATGAAAAAAAAAACCCCACCTGTGTTTTACTTATGTCATGCAATGTTAATTTTTACAGTATAGTTGTATAGTCTTACAAGTTTCTTTTCGACCATGGTGAGAGGGGAAAAAGAAGCAAACCCAAACATTCGCAATGGGGAACATTAAGAAATGCACAATATATAAAATTCATAATAAAACTGCCAATGCTGTGACTGCTATGGGTCAAGGTGTCTTAGGCTACCCCATTCTCCTACTGCAATGAGAGATAACACTGCAGTGATACTGGTGCCAGTGGGAGGATATAAACAGCAAGAGAATTTGCCATCTCAGCTTTATTCACCAGAGCTTTCCCATGTAAAAAACAACTCAATAAATAAAAATTTTAATTGGCAAAAGAAATAAAATAGCTACTTCACCTGACCTGCCCATCTCTTTCGGGGATGAGAGCAGCTATGCTAACACTGAGTGGTGTACGCTCTGCGAGCAAAGAACAGAAAGGAAAAGTACACCTATGGCAGAAAGGAGTTAAAAAACTCACTAGACAAATGAATTTTAGTTTTTCATAAACCACACCACAAAACCTGGGGCATGCCTTGACACATGCCAAAGCTCAGGAATTAGTCTTCCGAAAAAAACCACACTTCTTAAAGGCACAGCATGTCCTGCTGCACCAGCAGAGGAGAGGCAAGGCAGAAAGGAAGGAGATGAGACCACCAGGACAAAAATAAGAACAGCCGGGGGAAATGAAGTTGTAAAACTATGACTCATCAATTCCTTTGCTACGATATCCACATAAAGCTCCTTTATCATCAAAAAACAAAGAATAAAGAGAATAAAGAAACTATGAAACCAAACAGGCTCTACTTACACCCTTCCTTCTCCATCATGCTGACTCTGCAACCTCTGGAGATAAAGGAGTTCTCAAGGACAGTTTCTGTCTGTTGTTTATTGAGGCTGGTCATAGGACAGCATTAGTTTTGCTAGCTCTTTGCCTTATTTCTCTCCTCACCACAGCCAAGCATTGATTTATAAAAGAGAACCTGCGCTCACTGGACCATCTTCCCAACCTCTCAAACACTTTCTGTGCACTCCTGTACTTCTGGATCGTGTGACCAATCATGC